AGTGCATGTGGCTCCAGCCACGGGCAGGGAACACGGCACCGGAGCCGCAGGCCCGCCCAAGAGGTCCTCGTCTCTCAGTGGCACCGTCCCGCCTGCTGGGAGGGGGCAGGACCCAGCTGTGGCCTGGGGGCGCCTACCCCCCACCCCGCTCCGCGTCCCTTCCTCTGCTTCTCCTTCCCTCCCTCCCCCTGCCCCCTCCCTCCTTCTTACATGCATTGATTTACCTTCATTTACTCATGGGAACACACCTGGCTCAGGCTTGCTTTTAGGGTAAGATTCTGATGCTGACCTTGAAAGGCCCTTGAACTTGCCACCCCCAGGTAAGAGTTATTTTTTACATCGTCCACTTGGCCTGTTTACAGCCCGTCTCAGAGGTTGATTCCTGGCACTCGGAAGACTTGACTCTGGGTCACCGCTAAATGGCCATCCATAGATTATGTGTGAGGGGTCATGTGCTGGGTTACAGGGTGACAGCCTCTGCTCCGTGGCAACCAGCAGCCCCCACCCCGGTTTGCTTGTGAACTTTTAGAATTGCTGGGGGGCGGGGAGGGAGAGAGAAAGGGGAAGGAAAGGAGAGGGGGAGAGAGAAAGAGAGAGAGAGTGAGGAGGAGGGGGAGGAAGGGGGGGGAAGTGGGGGAGGAGGGAGAGGAAGGGGGGGGAAGTGGGGGAGGAGGGAGGGGAAGGAGGGGGAGGAGGAGGGGGAGGGGGAGGAGGAAGAGAAGGGGTGCCATGCAGTTTGATGTTTCCCTGCCAAGCCTGGAAGGGTTTTGTGGCTCCTCCCGTGGGAGAGGGGAAGCCCTACTTCCTCCTGTGGACCCAGCAGACGCAGGTGAAACTCGCAGCCCCATGTGCTGAGGCACAAAGTTGACCCCCACCTCACAGAGCTCACAAAGGACACGGTGTCTCCAAAGTAACTTTCCCTTTTCGGGAGAATCACTGCCCAAACAGAAGTCCCTGGGGAGACTGAGTATCGGGCAATGGCTGGAAAGGCAGGGTCCTGCCCGCCCCTGGGACTCCCAGAGCCCCCAGGCCGAGCCATGCTGCCCGGGGTGGGGGGTTTGGGGGGCGAAGGAGGCTCTGGTCCTATGGCCCCCGAGGGAGGCCCGCCCATGTGGGAGGCCGGGCGGGCCCCCCGACACGGTGCGCACACATGGCCTGTGCCTCGCCCGCCCCTCTCCTTCCGTCGCTCCTGCGGGGAGTGAGTTATGTTGGCTTTTCTCGCCGCCTCTGGAAACAAACGCTCAGGGCCCAGAGGGGACATTTATTGCGTGTCCACCCCGGAGCCCGGCCCCACAGTCATGATGAGCATCGTGACGTCTAATGATCACAGAACACACTCACTGCAGGACCTCGAGATGGACCGGCAGCCCGGCCGCTCACCCACCGCCGCTGTCCACAGGACGCGCCTGGACACGGGCCGGCCCTGCATCTTGTCCGTCCTGGATCCTGAAGTGTGAGCCCAGGGGGACCCGTCAGCCCGTTGGGACTGGCCTGTCGCCAGGAAGGTCTGGGCGTAAGGCTGTGTGTCACTGCCGGTTCTGGAGACATTGGGCAGTGGTTAACCTCAAGTTCCGATGGCCTGTCTGCCAACCACACCGCGGGCCTGTGGCGAGGATGGCGCGATGCACAGAAAGCCCGACCCGGGGGATGCGTCCCAACGGGCCAATGAGAGAGCCAGACCCGTGCTGTGGGGCTTCGGGCAACACACACGGGAACATTCGCCGCCTCTTGGTTCTGTGGTTTTGACCCTCTGCCCCTGCAGGTCTGTCCCATCCCGTTTCCCAACAGGAGGGGGTTACGCAGCCGCAGGGTGGATCCCCGTGAGCGGCAGGTCAGGACTCGAGTTCTTAGTCACCCACTTCGGCTGCCTGGAGCCGCCTCAGGGGGCGCGAGGGGCTGTGTGTGCCGGACATTGGACGCGGTGCCTTATCTTCCCGGGACCTGCCCCATCTCAGCCTTGAAAAGGGCGTCCCTTCCCTTCCCTTCCCGTGGCTGCCGACGAGCTCTGAAACTCACGGACCATCCTGACGCGCATGAACGCGCCACCGTGGCAGCACGGCTGTCCGAGAGTTCAACGTCAGACCCGGTAACTGAGGAAGCCGAACGTAACCTCAGCCCTTTTAGAGTCCCTGCCTCAAGGCACACACGGTGGTTTGGCGGCAGGCACCCTGCCCCTCCTCCTGCGCCTCGCTCCCATGGCTCGAGGTGTCTGTCCTGAGTGATTCTCAGGCACGTCGATTCTAGATAAAGGGTGTCCCAAAATTCACGCAAGATTTGAATTTTGCGTGAGCATTAACAACAACAACAAAAAATAAAAGCCTAATTTTACTTGGTTTATTGAATCAGATTCTAATATTTGCTGCCCTTTGATTTCAATCCCTTCAATTTGATAAGCATTACCAAGTACCAATGATGGCTCAGGAGCAGGGACAATGAAGACCAATGAAGACCACGGCTTTGTGTCTGTGCCAGCAAAGCCGTGGAGGCCATTTACCCAATGTGCTATTCCATACGTAACCCTAGACTGTATACTTTATGAATCAATAAAAAAATTACAATTTTTAATTATAAGCCTGTATTTTCTATCAAAATTACTTCTTGCGTGAATTTTGGGACACCCTTTAAATCTCGGCGTCGTTGTGTCTCCGAGAGACTTCCTACTGACAGAGTCCAAGGGACAGGGTGCCCGTCCCAGTGAAGTCCCAGCAGAGCTGGGATTCCCAGCCTCTCGTCAACCCATGACCTCTTCACGCCCCCGCGGCTGACACGTCCACGTGCCGGAAACACGTACGTGTGGACAGTCACCGCCACACCCGGCTGCCCCGACCACTGCGGCCAGGTCAGGGAGAGCCACTACCCACGCCGATTTTCACGTAAAGGATCTTCTGAAACAGTACAGACGCCCGGGAGCTGAGCCGGGAAAAGAACCCTTTCCTACCTGTTGAGAGCAGAACGGAGGTCTGGAAAGAGACGTTACTATGAGGACCCCTGTCAACGTCCTGATTCAGGGGGGAAGCCCCAGGGGCCTATTCCCAACACGACGGGGCATAAAAGCATTTTCTTATAGAAAACACAACAGGAAGGAAAGGCGTCTCAGGGAAATACCAGGGGCTCTTGTTTTTAGACGTTGTCCCTACAGGCCCCATGCAGCACTGGGTGGCTAAGCATCATTTGGACAGAAAGCGCATCGGCGATCTAGTTGCACCTGCAGAGGAGCGCTGCGCCCGTGGGCCGCCAGCAGCGCGTTCCTAGTGCTCAGACGCTGCTGAAGTGAGAAAGCTTTTCAAAGGCACAAGGACGGGTTAGGATCCGGGAGCCGACGAAGGCCCGTCCACAGGGCTGCTGCTGGATTCACCTGTGTCACCCCGACCCCTTTCCTTTCTGGTGGGGAGGGAAGTCAGATAGGGTCGCTCCTCGCCACAACCCTGTCAGCAACGCTGGTTGCGTGGGGACGATGTCTGCTCGCCCCCGTGGCTGAATCCCGTTGCCTTTAAAAACGCTGGCAGGGTCAGCAGGGAAGGCCAACCCCGTGGATCAGCCTCGCGGTGCACGTGGCCAGCGATGCCACGAGAGATAAGAAGACGAGGTGACACAGGGCGTCCCGAGGAGGACAGGGGCGGGTTTAAATGGCCCTAAATGCAGACCCAGGCGTCGCCCCGAGAAGGTCATGCTACTTGGAAGGAAAGTATCATTTCCCACGAGCCCATCCTCTCGGCCTGGACGAGCCGTCCACCGAATGCACCGCACACCGCGTCCTGGCGTTGGACGGGTGTCCATCACTAGGAAGCACCGGGAAAGTCACGGCACCAGGGGCCGCTTCCGAAACACGCCTGGGACACACCTGTGGCCGAGGTGGCCCCGCAGAGTCATGCTTGCAGTTTCTGTCTGTCCACAAGGGGCTGTTGGACAGACAGGCCACCCAGCAGCCCTGAGCACGGTCACTTCCGGGAAACGTCTGGGAATTTGACACTCAAAGGAAAGAGCCTCCTCTGGAGACACAAGTGTGAGAGCCAATGGCACGCCCCCCCCCGCCCCCAATCTGGCTCTGTGCACAACGGCCGCACACCTCCTGGGAGTGCACGTGCTAACCCTGAAAGGAAGAGCATCACCCCGAAAACCCTGCAGGTCTCAGGTCCCCCCACATCCCACCGCGGACCGACACAGAGGCGACGCCGGGAGGTGGCTCTGCTGCAGGAGGACGAGGACGAGCTGCCGTCCAGACCGGTCGCCGCCCTCCCCGCAGGCGGCCTCTCTCCCTTACGGGCGGACCAGCCTGCACGCTGGGAAGGGCTCTCCCTGGGCTGCTCGTCTGCACGCGGCCTGCTCCGCCCGGGAAACGGTATCGCAGAGCAAACACTCGCTGACGTCAGCGGTCCCGCAGCGTCAGCCAGCTGGGTGTGCTATCTCACTTGGCACGGTGGGCGCTGGGCAGTTGGTGTGTTCCACGGTGCTGTTGCCATTGCCAGCTCACTAGCCCTGCGGGGTGCGGGCAACCTGCCTGCTTTATTGATTGCAAATTTACTGATTGCAAATAACACCTCTGCTGTGACGGCATCCGAACAGTCCTATTTATTTACATTTTCCGAAGAGCGGATCTCGGAAACAAACCCCCAACGGACGCTGGAGACAGTAAGCTTGAGACAGCCTGGCCTGCACCGGGCTTGGTGTGTGTGCGTGCATGTGCGCATGTGTGTGGATGTGTGTGCACATGCGTGTGTCTTCCAGCCTAAGGGGCAGGTAAGGAAACAGCACCGCTAATCAAACTAGCATCATCTGCATGTGTCTCTCCACAGTCCACATCCCAGGGAGCAGCGCCCTCGACCTGGGGCCTTGTGACCATGTCGTCGGACTCCGCAGGCCTGGGCAGCCCGGGACCGCGTGTCCAACCAGCGCCCGGGCTGCTGGCCGGCGGACCCCCTCTGAGCACAGAAGCGAAGCCAGGACGGGTGGGGCCGGGTGCTGCCGGGGGCGAGGTGGGCAGGGGCGGCCCAGGTACTTACCCTGCATCTGGCTCTGAGGCTGAGGGTTAAAGGCAGTGGAGTGGCCCAAGGAGGCGCGCGGGTTGGGTGTGGGGGCGGGGTGGTGTGGGCTGACCCGCATGGCCGTGCGCCGCAGCTGCTCCAGCTCACTGAGCCGCTCGGAAAAGGACAAGCTCCCCGGCTTGGTCTGATCGTCTAGTTTCTGACGATGTCCTATTGGGGGGGGGGGGGGCAGGGAAGGAGGGAGGGAAGAGATCAGAACATGTATTGTGGATCTTCTGAAATTGGGGGTTTTCTTGTCCTTCCCCTCCCTCTCCCCTCACCCCCGTGGGGCAATTCGGGAACACTGTCCCCACAGCAGCCTGGGGCCCCCTCTGTCACGCGGCCACTAGGCGCTCCCCCGGCCTGGGCTCCACGGCCTGGACCCCCTGTCTCCACAGGGAGGGGAGGGGGCCTCAGGCAGGCGGTGGCGGTGAGGGCAGGAGGGAGGCACAGTGATTGCTGGCTCTGGGCCACCTGCTGGGGCTCAGCGATGGCGGCGGGAGCGGTGCCTCCCGGGGCGTGAGCTCAGCGGCTCCTCGCTGCGCACCACCCACCGGCTTCTCAGCAGCAGTGGATGCCCTGGAGCCCGGGCACGCCCCTTCAACAGGAAGCGGGGTGTGGCGAACCCCAGCCCGGGTGGCCAGGCTTCCTGGTAAGGGCACCGCCCCGCAGCCCCCCTCGCTCTCCCTCCTCGCCAGCCTCCTGGGAACCTTTCCTTCCCGAAGCTGCTGCCCAGGTGCGGCTCCCAGAGGGAACCTACCGGAAGGTGCGGCTGGGGCCTGCGCCAGCTCAGCACTCCCCCAGGCCGGGCCCTGGAGCCCAGAGGTGCCACCGGCAGCTGGAACCAGCTTCCCAGGGGACCCAGGAACCCCAGGGGGGGTGGCCCTCAGTGTCTGTAGGGACAGTGCACGTCCTTGCTGGCCCCTGGTCTAAATCACTGTCCCCAGGACGCAGGGAGCAGAGACCACTCACGCAGGCCAGGCCAGGAGGGTGGGACCTCCTGTTTCCCCCTAGAGGCCCCTCAAAATGCGTTAAAGTGGAGACTCAGGCCTGGAGGCCGATGATGCTCCATGTACGCCCCGGCCCTGTGGTTCCCACAGACTCGCTGCCGGTTGGTTTCACAGCCCCTGGCTGTCCAGTGGCCTGAAGGAGCAGCTTGCTTGTGGCCACACCCACATTCTCATTCACTGGTGAGAAAGGGGGTCCCTGAGCCCGCACTCCCCGTGGCCCAGCCGGGAGAGGCAGGGGGGGTGCGGGGGGTGGGGAGGTGAGGGGATGGGGAGAGAAGGGCATTTCAGCCTGGCTCCCGATCGCTACAATTACAAAGTTAAATTTCGTGGCGCCCTAGTTGGTGTGGTTCAGTGGATAGAGCATCAGCCTGCGGTGGACTGAAGGGTCCCGGGTTCAATTCCAGTCAAGGGCACAGGCCCGGGTTGTGGGCTCAGTCCCCAGTGTGGGGCATGCAGGGGGCAGCCGATCCATGATCCTCTCTCATCATGGATGCTTCTATCTCGCTCTCCCGCTCCCTTCCCCTCTGAAATCAATTTGAGAAAACATTTCACGGCTGGTGTAATGGTCCTGAATGCCCGCGGCCTGTGCTTCCGCCCGCCGCCCGGCCCCTTGGCACAGCTGCTGCGGCTCAGATTCCAGAGCCGAGAAAGGCTCACTCTCTGCGGCGACTGCTCTGCCCCGGGCCCGCCTGGAGGAGGGAAAACACGCCAGCACAGTGTTTGTGCGGCTCCCGCGGACGCTCCCTCTTCACGTGTCACCAGGCAAATCCGGACGCTGATTCAGCCCCCAGCCCCCAGCGCCCGCCCCACACCAACAGCCGAGCCACCCAGCCCGGCCCACGTGGGCGAGGCCTGACCAGCGGGTATTTTAGGCCCTGGCCTGGCGGGCGAACGGCTGTGGGGCCGGGTCCCGGAACAACCCGTCATCCCCTCTGAAGCACAGAAATGTCTTTCTGGAACGTTCTATTCCAGTCAATCGAGAACGGAGTCATTCAGCATCTCTGGAGTTCCCTCACTCCTCCCTCCCCTTATCTTCCCAACACATTCTTGGCTCCCTGATGATCCCCCTGGAGAATCTAACGTTTTCTTCAGAAAAACCGACAGTTCCAACTCCAGGGCTGCTCGGAGCATCACAATCTGGCCCTTTTAAACCCCGAGCGGGACCTGATGCCTGGAGGGTCAGGGGGGACAGAGGGCCACCTAGGGGTCAAGGGGGGGCAGAGGGCCGCCTGGGGGTCAGGGGGGAAAGCAGGAGGGCAGGGGGCAGAGGGGGGTCAAGGTCAGCAGAAGGCCTGGGGGTCAGGGGGAAGAGGTTCTGGGAGTCAGGGGGGCAGAGGAGGGTCAGAGGGGGATGGGCGGGAAGGGGGCAGAAGGCCTAGGGGTCAGGGGGACATGGGGCAGAGGGGGCACCAGGATCGGGAGGATTCTGCCTCAGAAAGAGCGCCAGCTGGTAGCGAAGGCACAGAGCTTTGCAGCAGGTTTGGTGCCAGTTCCCATGGCCCCGTCCTCAGGCGCCCAGGGGTGTTGTTGAAGAACCCGTGTCGGGGTCCGGGGGTGGCCCAGGGCACGTGTGTGCTGAATACACGGCACGCGGCGTTTTGAAGGAAGGCCACGCATCGTGCCTGCCGCAGCCACACGCTTGGGGACCAGGCGCCACCAAGAAACCAAACACCAACACGTCACTTCAGCTCAGTCCCCTGGCCAGGCCCAGCGGGCCCTCCTGTCCCATGTGATACGCGCTGGGTATGTTACACATCCACATATAACGCAACATGAAGGCTATAATGAGGATGTTAGCAGGACACACATGATCTATGCATGTTTACATATCACCCAACGTGCTGTAAACGTAAGGACTTAACTTCCCTCCCCAGTCTCTTCCCATATCTTTAAGCCAAGAGCACAGCACGAGGTTAGGGTTCTTCAGGACGGGGTGGGGGGGCGGGGGGGCGGGGGGTGGGGGAAGGGCCAGAAGTCAGCCTTCTGTTTGAACGCATGGGTGGGAGGTGCAGTGCCGAGAAGTTATGTCATTTACCCGCTGTCACCCAGCCACCGAGAAAGAGGGCAGGTCTGAAAACACACCCTCTCCCTCACCCTCTCCCACCGCATGCTCAGTGCACGTAGACACCCCAAATTCTGCGAACCCCGAGTGCACAGAGGGAGAGGCCCACGGTGGTGCATAGCAGGCGTGGGGACATCGGGCGCTCCCCGCCCCCAGGTCCCGCTCTGTCCCGCCTGCTCAGAGGCCAGGAGCCAGAGCCCACTGTATGGGCAGCCAGCTGAGTCCCCCTCCTGAGTGGCAGGCGTGGGGTGCGGCCAAGAATTTGGATTCTGCTCAGGGGCAGGGGCTGCGCTGGCCCAGGAGCATCCTGGGAGCTGGGAGTGCGGGGGCCACTCCTCCCCATGGCCCTGCGCCTTCAACGTGCTTCTCATTTGCTCTGGGGTGGAAACGAAAGCACCAAATACACCAGCACTGTGCTCAGACCCAGGCCCGCGGCACCGGGGGCTGAGCGTGCGGTGATGACTCCTGGTCTTTCTCCTAATTTCCTGATCCTTCGATGCACGCCGGCCACTGAGAATGCCAAGGTCAGGCCGGGCGGGGGCTGTCGCTCCCACCTCACTGAGAGGGTCCGGGAGTCGCAGTCACAATGCTCAGGCTGAGCTCTCAGTTGAACCCGGGATTCTCAGGGGGAGGCCTCTGAGCCCATCAGGATGGGGGTGCATGCTGAGGCCCCGGGGAGCTGGGCTGTCTGCCTGGAGGTTAACTCTGTTTCTAAACCTGCTTTTCCACCGCGTCTCCTGTGGACAGAGCGAGTCTCTCCATCCGTAGCCTCCTTATCTGGCGGCCTGGGGTTAGGGACTACGGGGCTCCTCTACGCATCGCACAACTGCACCTGCAGATAAGCCACTCGGCTGGTTCCACCGGACGACTCTCACTCAGCACAGGCTTCTCAGACAGGAAAGCATCATATGGCATTAGGCTCTCAAAGCTCCCTCCCTCCCTTCCTCCCTTCCCCTTTCTTTCTTCCTTCCTTTCTCCTTCCCTCCCTCCCTCCTTCCCTCCCTCCCTCCTCCCTCCCTCTTCCTTCCTCTCTTTCTCTCTTTCTGTTTTTCCTTCCTTTTTTCAGGCAAATGCCTGGCCTTTGGGAGCCAGTCCCAAGCCCCATCGGCCTGATCCCACCAGGTCTTCAGCTCCGGGACTCCACCCGCCCCCCTCCCCACTGGTGACCCCCTGCTGCGGGCGCCCCCAGTGCACCCTGAGAGCACCCTCCCCCCCTCCTGCTCTTCCCTTCAGACAGTCACTCGTGGCCTGGGACACAGGGATCCTGGAGCTGCTCCTCCCTTCCCCCCCCCCCCCCAAGCCTGCCCTGAGCGGACCTGCTGCCTGAGCAACTGGCACAGCCCTTCTGGGTGTGCCCTTCCCACCGCCTCCCGTGGCGGTGTCCAGGCCGAGCGGCCTTTTGCGCTCCTGCAGACCAGCTGGGCAGCTGTCGGGGCAGCAGCCGGAGAGAAAGCCATGCTGCCGAACCTAATCCAGGGCACATGTCCCGGCTCCTCTTACCGGTTAGAAAATAATGGCCCCTCCCATCAGCGGCCAGAGGACCGCAAGCAGGAGGTCCCCATCACCCACCCGTGAACTTCAGCCCCACCCATGCGCCTGTGCAGGGCACTGTCCCTGAGCTCATGCCCTCCCGCCTCCCACAGGCAGGTAAGTCAGTGAGCGGTGGGGTGAACCCACTGGGATGCGCTCCTTCCAGGCAGCGTGCTTCCACTTGGGGATCTTAGAGACACGAAGCTTCACCCCTGAGGACCAGGCACACCCACGGGTGGAATGAGCTTTGGCTCCTCTGGCAGGTGGCGACAGGCCACCATGTGACCACCAAGTCTGCCTGTACACGGGGCTTCCCTATCCCGAGTCCCCCAAACCTCGGCCAGCAGTGGCCCCTCACGAGGCATGAAGGGCACGTTTTAGAGGTCAGGCTGGCCTTTGGCTGAGCCTGTTTCTAAGGTGGATCCCCTCCTTGAAACCAGAAGGCAGATGGTTGGCATTCCCCACCCTGCTCCAGCCACACGTCTGGTTGCTGTTGCTGCTGCACGCCTGCCTCAGGGCCTTTGCACGTGCTGTTGGCCCCGAATAATCTCTCCTCGGATACCGGGACC